TATTTGAACTAATTATGAGACTTTTTGAATGATGAGAGGAATTTGCCGAAGCTGCAGATTTACTTAGATTCTTCAAGGGAACATTTTGCTATAAGATTTCTATTACCTGATTTCGTTTTTCAATAAAATGCAAAGATACATCCAATTATTTGACGTGAAACTCATTTCAAATTTTTTTCTAGACTCTAGATCAAGCTTCTCAATAATCACATTTATCATAATAAAACACAAGCGACCATTACATCTTTCGAATTTGTACTATCGTTGCCAATTTCGAAAAGATATCTTTTACTTTATATTTTAAAATAAACAGTGTATCGATCTCCAAAACTAACCTTAAAAGAAGACTACGTATTTTGTTTACCATATATGCACTTAATTACCACGATATATATGCAAAGTATTTTACAATTTTTCGATGTCAAGGAGTGTGAAAAAGTGCAATACTCGAATCAGGTTCTCCCTATTACGCGTCGGACATGTTTCCAGTTACACCACAAAGGCACGTGGAAAAGTGGGAAAATACCTGCTACTCATCCTAACAGCAAACCTAGGGTAATTTAGATGCATTTTCAATTGAAATGTTAGAATTCAATTTTGCAACAAATTTTATACATTTTGTATCGCACGTACAGTAAATCTAACTTTATTTTATTCATTGTATAAGCTCAATTAAATTGTTTTAAAGAATTTTATAAGATGTGTAATGTCGAAAGATTTATGTAATCATTGAGAGCTTTCCTTAGTATAAAGCAGAGGGTTGACAATTTTTGTAAATGCAACTTCCAGTTAAAGATAAGTAATAGTGCTAAGAGTCGCACGATAGATTTTGTTTACCTAATACTTAAATACATACTGGTGTAAAAATATCAATTAGTTTTACCTTTATAGCTAGAAAACACCGAGAACAAGTGTTATATCTACACGCATAAGAAATTCAACATTAATTTTTTTAATATATTTTTCTTTTTAGCCTGAAGGGGAGGTAGCCCAGGTGGGGTATTAGTTTCTAAACGGCGTTTTGCGTTGTTTCACTATAAATATCCGTTCCACTTTTTAAACTGTTGCCACCAAATATTATCGCCCTGTAGTATATTTAAAGAAATTAAATAATGAAGAATCTGCATGAATGTATGTATGTTTCTCGCATTGTGAAAAACGACGCTACCTATAGCCATCTAATTTCATAATAATAATAATCCATAATAATAACGTAATTTTCCACCAGAGCATGAGCACCTGGGCCCCGAAGTTCGAGTTTGTTTTATTATCCATTTCGTATTTTGTAAAACTTTAACGAATTTTTGATTAACAAACTCAACGATTTCATAGCGAGCAATGGCAACACTGTACGGAAAATAACATTTTTATCTCCAGCGCGCCTAAACTGTCTATTGAGAATTCTAAGGATATGCTGTTTTTAAAAATATTTTTTGATATTGCTGTTGAATTGAATTTTATGTGGTTTAAGTGCCAAGAGCATGATATTTAAAAAAGAAGGGTAACAGAGAAAACATTAAAAAACGCTCCTCTGGAGTAATATAAAATCTGAAGGCTTTCAGATTTTCCCATTTCATTTATTTTTTATGATAAATATTTTAGGTGGTTGGTCAAGAGCAGCTAGTCTTTGTTTTATTTCAAATATAATTATGCTGTTAAAATGCTTTGCATGTTATTGTGAGCATAATGATGTTCTCATATAAAGCAACCATGTTATATAAGTCAATTTTCAATTATGTCCTTGCTATTTTTTGAAGTCCTGAATGTGATAATTATCAATTTTTCTTTGTTCGTTTTTGATAATTTCATAATAAATAAATAGCTTTCGTTAAATGTATCTATTTCTGAGCATGTGTGTAGTTCTCAAGCTAAAAACCACTTAATATGCCTAAAACCGCTTAATAAGTAATTTCCGTCATAGAATACAGTTACATATGCGGAAAACTCTGCTATCGAAATTTTAAACTACACATTTAAGAGTACAAGTATATGATTCCGCTGCATGTTTTCAAAGAGGGAAAAAAATCCTGAAAATCTTCCAGATTTTATATTACGCCCAAGTGGCATTTTTTAAAGTTTTGTGCGTTACCTTTATTTAATAAATATCATGTTCCTCTCCCTTAAACTATGAAATTCAATTAAACAGCAATATCATAAAATATTTAAAAGCATATTTTTTAGAATTCAGGATAGAAAGTCCACGCGCTGGAGATAAAATTTATTTGAATCGATTTGAAATCATTGAGTTTGTTAATCAAAAATTTTTAAAGATTTCTCAAAATTTGAAATTGATAATAAAACAAATTCGGAATACAAAATTCGGGCTACTAGGTGCCCATGTTCGGGTATAGGATTAAATCATTCGAAATTGGATGGCTCTGGGTAACGTCGTTTATTCATACTGCGAGAAACATTCAAACATTCATGCGGATTCTGCATTATTTAATTTCTTTCAGTGTAATACAGGGTGATAATATTTGGTACCAACAATTTAAAAAGTGATACGCCGTTTATAGTGAACAGACGCAAAATGCTGTTTCGAGACTAATAGCCCTTCTGGGCTAACGTTCCTTTGGGCTAAAAGGAGCATGAAAATTCCAGCGTTCTAGAAAACTCGTTGTATATATTAAAAAAAGTATTTCAAATCTTTTCTCAGAATACAGGAAAGGATCAGATGATCTAAGAACATTATTATTTGTCTGAAATTCTTTGGCATGAAAAACAAACGACACCCTGACTCGGCGCTTCACCGTTTTAGATTGATATTTGCAGAGAAACGCATTTTACAGTGAAGCATTCCCAATATGATTCACACTGTAATTCAAATGCAGTTAACTCTTTATTTATCAGAATTAATGGGCTAGAGCAGCTATTCTTAACCGGTGGTACGGAAAAAAAGTACTTTTTAACTATTAAATTCAAAAATTAAATACCCCAACATCCTGTTCAAGTTTTTTTTCTCTAACACTCCCAAATTTATGAAATCTGAGCTTTGTTCAAGCTTAATACCCGCTGATAGACTTTAGCAAAATAATACGTTTTTATTTTCACAAACATTCTTTAAGCCTTAGACATAGCAAAATTTGTCCTAAATGACGTTTTTAAAAACAGTAATAGAAATGGATGTTTTTCTTAATAGAAAATAAAAATAAGGAATAATCCTATAAAAGAAAGTAAAATATCTCATTAATTCTTTTAGAATTGATCAATTTATTAGCGTGTCTACACTTTATGTCGCCACCCTTTCCGGGCTCATATCGCTTATTTTAAATTAAATTCATTTTCAACGGGGATTTGCTGTCTCTAACAGCAGGTATTTTGTCTTTTTGTTGCTTTGTATTTTTTACTTTTCTACGCGATTGGAAAATATCGTCGTTTGTTCTTGAAGAACTCATAATGCATTGTGCGTTTTAATGTTTGTGAAAAATAATAAAATAAACCTAGATTTTTCGAAATGAAAAATGGCTATTACTGACAAAGCGGAAAATTAATGATTCACGGGTGATGGATCCAGGACAATCTACTAGCACTAAAAATATTGAAAAGAAAAGAAAAATTGTTTATAGAAAATATAATGAAAGTTACTTACAATTTGGGTTTACTTGGAATGGAGATAAAATGAACCCTCAACCTCAATGTGTTGTTTGAGGCGAACTATTATCCACTCAAACCATAGTTACTTAATGAAACCATAGTTATGAAATTAAAAGTTATGAATGTTATGAAACCATAGTTACTTAAAAGACATCTTGAATCTAAGCATGCCAATATAAGGATACAGTAAGTCGAGGATTTCATGAAATGGCAAATTCCATAAAAGAGACAATTATTCAAAAAATAAAACAATGTGAGTGTTTCGCATTGCAATTAGATTAGTGTACTGATATAAAAAAAACTATGTTCAATTATTAATTTACGTACGTTTCGAAGAAGATGAATGAATCGCCGAAGAGCATTTGTTTTGCAAATTCCTTCATGATAGTGCAAATGAAAGTCTCAAAGTAACTGACAATTCCTTGGAATTAGTGCATTGTCGTATGCAGTGATGGAGTTGGGACTTTAACAGGAAAACATTCCAGGGTAATTTCTTCATTAAAGAAAGTCGTAGCCGAAACTAAATTTATTAATTGCTCCATTCATTCTGAAGCTTTATCAACCAACCCAATCCCCGAAAACCTGCAAATCGTTTTGAATCAAGCCGTGAAAATTGTGAATTTTTTTAAAAGCCGAGCTTCAAATTCAAGAATATTTACAATCTTATGCCAAGAAATGGGCAGTGAACATGAAACGATTTTGTTACATTCCGAAGTAAGAGGGTTATGCAGAGGCAAAATTTAAAGTCGTTTTTTTGAACACCAATTAGAAATTTAAATTTTCTCTGTGATTCAAAATTTTAAATGCAAAAATGTGTATTTAGTGAAAATGTTTGGCGCTTTTAGCATAGTTAGGTAATAATTTTGGAAAGATAAATGAAGTAAATTTAGAATTACAAAGACAAATTGTTAATTTCTTTACCATTAGAGATAAAATAGATATAATGATAAAAAAAACTGAGCTAATAATCACAGAATTTGATAATAATATTTTAAGGTTTTTAGCACCCTTAAAAAGTTTTCTAACCGAAAATAATTTGAAAATTAAATGAGACTTGACGTTCGACATTAAAAATCTTTGCTTATCATTCGTAAATAATTTCAACGTGTATTTTCCCTAGAATTAAGAAAAGGAAAATTGGATTAGAAATCCATTCTAAATTTTAGAATACCTGTGGAATTTTGATTTCGAACTTAAATAGCTAATTCTTGAAATCACACTTTGTTAGTTTTTCTATCTGACTGTAAGCCTTAAAATTTTTTTCGCGCTTTATTTGATGTTTTTAAGACTTCACACTGAATGTGCTTTTGGCGACATTCATTCTGTCGCCAAAGCTGCTCAAGATTCAAGCAACCCTTCGTCCCTCTTTCGCTGCAGGGTGCGAGTAACTAGCAGAAACAGTAAAGATGCCTCGCAGGGGCCTGGACGCTCTGGTGTTCCCAGGGAAGTTCCTGGTCGACAAGATCACCGGACTGAAGAAGCAACAGCAGGAACAGAGTCGAAGAAAAGTGACAGAGCGGGAACTTGCCCACCTGCACCACAAAATCGTGAGTCACTCCCCCTTTTTTTGTTAACACATTATTTCGTCTTTGATGAAACGCATTAACCCACTTGGCAAACTTCTCATAAGCTAATGAATTCACAGATGACTCGTTTCATATTTCTGGATCATTCGATTCAGTTCCGTAGATAAAATGATGTATCAAAACTATATGTTGAATCTATTTGCTGCTCCGTATTTGTCAAATGGGAAAATCTTTCCTCTTAAGGCATTACAGAATAAAATCGTATATAATACGTAGTCTGTTTTATTAAAGTAAGGTAAACAAACGTGTTCACTTAATGTGAAAATAGGGACTAAATATATTTAAATCTTAGAATTTTAATCAAATTTTGGAGAAGAATTATTTAAGAATCTCGAAGAGATAGTCTTGAAATAAACTTACAGAAAGCAGAATATTTAAATAATCGAATGACAATTTGATAAATTAATTAACGATGATAAAGAATACAAAATAATTCAGTAGTAGAATAATAAATTAATTAAGCATAATTAATATTATAAGTGTAATAATAAGTATAATTAATTAAGTAAAATTAATTAAAATAAAGTAAATATCTATTAAGAGAACAGATGAAAAAAGAAAATAGCATGAGGTAATTTAATACTACATATGAAGTCACTATTGTTTGAACAATTGTCTTTAATATGTGTACATTTTAAAGCGTATTTTATCTATGATAAATGAGAAATAAGAAAGCACAATATTTAGCATGAAGAGTTAAACACAAAAATATTTAATTTTTCTATAATTTTTGTAAATAAATTTTGGGATGAACCATAATCACGGCTTACTGTAATAATTATATAGATCATATTGTATTAAATCATGATAATGATATTATTGGTATTATCGTGATATATAATTTGCTCTAGATTGTTATTTGTTAAATTAAATGAATGCACACATTTATTTTTATTGAATTTCAGTAAAACAGGAATTGGTGTTTAGAAATAGAAGGAAACGAATGGGTATCTTTGATTTAAAAATTGCTTGTAACACATGGATAAGTTAGAGAGATTTTCGGTATAAATAAAGATAACTTCATTTTTTTCTTAGTTAATTCTAGACATGCCCCATAAATAACTGTGAATCTATTTTCCTCCTAGTAAATATGAACATGAAGAAGCAAAGTTAAGTATTTACAAATTTTTGAATAGTAACCATAATATAAAAATAAACATTGCCTCAAAATTCGAAAAACATTATCTAAGAAAAATCTGAAAGCATTAATATTTTATATTAGTCTCAAATGAGCGTTGTTTTTCATTTACAGACACATACATGTTTCAAGAACATTTGAGCTAGCGCCACGTTGGGTTAAAATATTTAAAAACAGCATATCTTCAGAATTTCCGATAGACAGTCTCGCGCGCTGGAGATAAAAATGTTTTATTTCCTATAATGTTGCCACTGCTCGCTTTGAAATTGTTGAGTTTCTTGATGAAAAATTCGTTAACGTTTTACAAAATATGAAATAGACAATAAAACAAATTCCAAATTCGGTCCTTCAGGCGCTATATTCGTGTGGAGAACTTTGTTATTCAAAATTGAATGACTCTAGATACAGTTGTTTTTTTAACGATGTGAGAAACATACGTATATGCAGATTCTTTATTATTTAGTTTCTTTAAATTTAATATAGGATGATAATATTTAGTGGCAACAATTTGAAAAGTGATTCGCACATTTAAAATGATTCAACGCAAAATGCCGTTTCGAAACTAATGGCCCTTCTGGGCTAATAATAATGATGATGATACTCGAATTATTTTCCAAAATGAGTAATGAAATAAAAAGCTCTATGAAAACTTTTATATTAAAAACTTGTATTAAATGATTTACGCAAATACTTGTACATAATGCTACTGTTACACACACGCACACACATACACTCTGTATACATGTATGTCTAAATAAAATAAAAAGAATTGTAAATATTTAAATTTTACGAATTCCAGATGTAAAATTATCTTTTATTTATTTTTTTAAATGATCTAATTCGGAGTAGTTTGTTTAGACGAAGAGTGATATCTAGTAAAACCTCGAAGGCCTATTATACGCGCTATGGTACACTTTATAAATGAAACTAATTTAGATTTATGCTATACGAGACAAGAAATTGAAATCTGCACCCATTTCACTATGAATTGATTGAGCCCGAATCAAAAGATATAACTCATTTGTTTTGCTCTTACCATGCATGTTGAGATTTATGTGATTTCCAGATTTATAGTCATCATCGTAAAGTTTAAGATTTTAAGTTGAAAATTTTATTCTGGTTTTTTATGTATAACATACTTTAATTGACAACTCTATATATTTTCCGCTGGGTTTTGAACAAATAATATTAGGTTCGAAATAATTTCGAGCACATTTTATAGCTAATTTTATAACATTTTCTTTAGGGTTCATTTGTGGTATCTTGAATTCGGGGTGTCGTACAGTGAGACCTACCAGGATTTAATAATAACAAGTAATAACAATTTGGATAATAATAACAATTTGGATAGCTAATTTATAAAATAATGTGATAAATAATAATTTATTAAATAATATCATAAATAAAAATTTGTCAAAAAGAAAGAAAATTTCTAAAAATGAAAATCTGAAAGGAGTCAGATTTTAACTTCGTAACAGGGTTTTTGTTAAGGTTTTTTATACTCTTGCTGAGCTCGCAATTTACCAGTATGCTGTTGGACTCACCCCTCGTAAAATACATTTTTGTCTTTTTAACTTTATGATTAAACATCACTTTCTTCGCAATTGTGCCAAATAAAATTAAACAGTAGACTCATGAAATTTTTAAAAGCAGCATATATTTGAACTTCCGATAGAAGATTAAATGTTAGCATTACTGTTTTTTCATTCTTTCAGTTCATCATATCAATGTACAGTTTTCTTAATTAGATGATTTGAATAACTTTTCTTGTTTTTATGGTTAACCGTTTGCTTTTCAACTTTAAGTATTTAACATAACGTTTTTGCACTATGCCATACAAAATTCAACAGCAAAATCGCAAAACATTTAAAATCATAGCTTCAGAGTTCATGATATTTTTAGAATCTTTAGCCTATCATTAGCATCTCTATTGCGATATCTTTAGGATTAGCCTTAGAGCGGTAAGCATTATCATATATATTTTTAAATAATCACTCTGTTATTTTTTTCAAAATAATAACATTTGATGGTAGCATACCTTTTTTGAAAAGTGTTAAGGACACAAAAGTGATGATCGGTACTATCTCTTGTGGTATTAGTCTGATAAATAATATGCTTTTTTCACTGTCAGAACTATTGTAATAGATTTAGTAGTACAAAAGCTGTTCGTACATTTTTTAGAAGACTTTGTTTAGCAAAAAATCGTCTGCTTGGAAATGTTTTTTAACTTTATTTTTGAAAGTATTATCATCTTCACAGTTTTATTTTCATGCAAAATGGCGCTTTTAAAAAAGCAATGGATGGAAGGCTATGTTTCTATAGTTGTATTTAAATAAAATAATAGGTAATTAAAGATAACTGTATTTAAATAAAAATTTGCAAGTTTTAAACATTGTATTTTTACATGATTTAATTTTATATTACTGGTAAAATCCTTAAATATCTTAGTAGAGATTTGAATTCCTCGAAAATTCATAGCTTCCTCCGCTGGTGTAAAACAATATACATTATGCCAAACCAGCTTTGGAATTCCGAAGTAAACGAGATTTGGGATTTAGCATTTAGAAAACAGGAAACTTTCACTTGAAAAACAGAAAATTTTATATCTTCCGTAGTTATTCATTCCTAATATATCTAATGTTTTAATTTCTTTCCTAAATTTAGCCAGTGAATTGCATTTGGTGAATTAAATTTTTCTCAAAATTTCCGTTTTTGTTACTTATTCGATCTCACTCCTCGTTACTGAAGAATCCTTCTTAATTTTTCTTAATATTGTTAAAGCCATCGTCTTTAAAAATTTATATTTCATACAATGGCAACACTTGCCTTGGCAACATAGATATTAAATGGCCAGTAGCCTGAGGCAAAGCAACGGGCAAAATACCGGAAACACTCTGGTATCGATACAGCATCGAACTATTGGGTCACATTGTCGCTGTTCAGTCGTGGTCTTTAAGATTATATAATTTGGCAACCGATAAGAGTATCACTTTCAGGTATATGCAGTAAAGAATTAAAACGTACCTTTCAAACGAGTATAAGGAATTTCTCCCGCCTTCCTAGCGTGCCTTCGTGGTGTAGTGGTTCTGCACGCTGGGCCGGTATTCCAGAGGTCCGTGGTTCGATTCCCGGCAAAGGTGACTGCTCATTTATCATCTCTCCGGCTTTTCCAATCAACCTAATGTCTTTATAAGAGGAAAGTTATGATCTGCACCATGAAAACAGTTTCGCTATTTAATAAGCAAAGAATTAGTTTTGTTGAACACGATTTATCTCAAGGAGGCCATTTTTAGAAAAACATCTGGTCGTGAATTTAGATATCTTAGCTGGATCGATATTGATCACACTTCTCAATGCACATCACTGTGTGGAGTTTGTGAAAAAATAACAAGTAAGACCATAAACAGTATAGAGTTATCATGTAGTCCAACGTATTTATGTTTACTTTCCTTGTTGCAAATTAGCGAAAGCGTGCATGATGGCAATCGAAGGCAACTTAGCTAGTTCAAGATATTAGCAACTTTCAGAGGTCTGCTAGTTCTATGATGGCTATAAGACTCATTCACGTGAAGTGGTCTAGGTTTACTCAGCGACAATTGAATTGAAAGAAACACTAAATGACGTATTTTGTCTTTAATTCGTAACTGATACCTGCAGCCTATGCTGAAATACTTTCTCGCACGCAGCCAAACACAGTTCAGAGGATGAATCCAGTTCCTCCATTTATCCAATGGCTAAATAACATGAAAATGAAAACATCTGCCTTCAATGTTCATTGTAATGACAGATTTGATTGTTGGTGGTTATTAATTATTGACAGCCA